AAGATTGGGCCATTGGAGTCTATGTGAAAACTCAGACTCAGCATCATAAAAATATAACTGTAAATAYCTAGGTCGTCCATCCCTTGGAACTAACTAATCAATTTTATGATATACTCCTCCATGTGCACGAAAAGTATATACACCGGATGTCATATTATTCATTGTCTCATCCAAAGTTACACCCATCAATGTGAAAGAAAAGTTCGTGTTGTATGCACGTATGTTGTGCCTAAACATTTTGCCCAGTTCAGATTGTGATGTGAAGAGATTGTATAATTCTTCGGGAATGGGAGAGTATGCTAACTTTGTCTTCCCACTCATGCAGCAGAAGAAAGGGAATTCAAAGTTGAATCGTTTTGCTCCGCAATGAGTACATGCAGGTTGTTCATTCAAAAGGCGATGTTCCTTAGGTATACGCCGGTAAATATAATCGTATGGATCTTCCTCAAAGGTGTCATTTCGGTTTGATGAGTTGATAATGACCTCAGTAGAGGTTTCTACATCTAGGACATTTGAATGTAAAAATATGGTTAATATTTAAGAACTAAACCTATGTAAAAATATAGTTATCATTAAAGAACTATATCTACGAATACAAGAATGTAAAAAATAAATTAAATAATAGTTTACAAAACTATAAATGTTCTGATGGAAAAAAAATTGCATCATATATGAAGCGACGATAATAAAAATTGATGCTTGAATATACATAATAAAGATATGGATTTTACCTATAACATCCATAACTTCATTGTTCTCTATGGTAGTTGTCAATGTTTMAATGCTTGTATGTGGGTTACCACTTGTTGCTGTTATGTTGTTTTCCTTACATCGTAGATAATAATTTCTATTATAAGTTCTCCTTCTTTCAGCAAGAGCTACTGCACTAACTGGTGTTGTATCCGCTGCAACTAAATTGGTAACAGGTGTTGCACTAACTGGTATGGTGTCCGTTGCATTGCAATTGGTGATATGTGATTGACTATTTCTCTCAGCAAGGACTATTGCACTAACTGGTGTTATATCCGTTGCAGCTAAATTGGTGACATGTATTGATTAAATTAAAGAAATTACATTAAAAAATGAGAACTTTTAAATAGTCAATTTTGATATTAACATTGATATATATATTTTCAAATTTTTATGTTATCTTCAAATTTATATTTTATTTAAAAATAAAATCATTATTGCTTTCTTAAAAACACACAAAATCGTATTATAACATCGACAGAGATAAATAATAATTTACAAAACTATAAATTTTATGTTGGGAAAAAATAAATTGCATTATATATGAAGCGACGATAATAAAAATTGATGCTTGAATATACATAATAAAGATAGGGATTTTACCTGTAACATCCATAACTTCATTGTTCTCTATGGTAATTGTCAATGTTTCAATGCTTGTATGTGGGTTACCACTTGTTGCTGTTATGTTGTTTTCCTTGCATCGTAGATAATAATTTCTATTATAAGTTCTCCTTCTTTCAGCAAGGGCTACTGCACTAACTGGTGTTGTATCCGCTGCAACTAAATTGGTAACAGGTGTTGCACTAACTGGTATGGTGTCCGTTGCATTGCAATTGGTGATATGTGATTGACTATTTCTCTCAGCAAGGACTATTGCACTAACTGGTGTTATATCCGTTGCAGCTAAATTGGTGACATGTATTGATTAAATTAAAGAAATTACATTAAAAAATGAGAACTTTTAAATAGTCAATTTTGATATTAACATTGATATATATATTTTCAAATTTTTATGTTATCTTCAAATTTATATTTTATTTAAAAATAAAATCATTATTGCTTTCTTAAAAATACATAAAATCGTATTATAACATCAACAGAGATAAATAATAATTTACAAAACTATAAATTTTATGTTGGGAAAAAATAAATTGCATTATATATGAAGCGACGATAATAAAAATTGATGCTTGAATATACATAATAAAGATAGGGATTTTACCTGTAACATCCATAACTTCATTGTTCTCTATGGTAGTTGTYAATGTTTCAATGCTTGTATGTGGGTTACCACTTGTTGCTGTTATGTTGTTTTCCTTACATCGTAGATAATAATTTCTATTATAAGTTCTCCTTCTTTCAGCAAGGGCTATTGCACTAACTGGTGTTGTATCCGCTGCAACTAAATTGATGATATGTGTTGCACTAACTGGTATGGTGTCCGTTGCATTGCAATTGGTGATATGTGATTGACTATTTCTCTCAGCAAGGACTATTGCACTAACTGGTGTTGTATCCGCTTCAGCTAAATTGGTGACAGGTGTTGATTCAATTAAAGAAATTACATAAAAAAATGAGAACTTTTAAATAGTTGATTTTGATATTAACATTGATGTATATATTTTTTCAAATTTTTATGTTATCTTTAAATTTATATTTTATTTAAAAATAAAATCATTATTGCTTTCTTAAAAACACACAAAATCGTATTATAACATCGATAGAGACAAATAATAATTTACAAAACTATAAATGTTCTGTTGGAAAAAAATAAATTGCATCATATATGAAGCAACGATAATAAAAATTGATGCTTGAATATACCTGATAAAGATAT